CCCACTGACACTATCTAATACATTGGTGTCAACCAAAAAAAAAAAAAAAAAAAAAATATTAGTAGACACCCATTATCGGCGGTTGATATGTGATTATTGATTGATTGGACAGAATCAATTCGTTCTAAATCGATTGACACCGACCAATAGCCTCTATCAACTGAAACCTGTCTTCAACATCCATCCACTTTTTTGGCCAACATTTTTGACATTGTCCGATACTCATACCTAGATTTTATCAAAAGCACCCATTTTCAGCATCTCTACTCAAATATATGCTTAATGAACTATAGCAACAACAAATCATAAGCAACAACCCCAACCAACACCCCCCTCCTCCCTTTTTTTTTCTATCAATCATAAATTTCATCAACATATTACAGTCTTCTTCATTGTTTGATGTCATATCAGCTACTGTCAACATTATATTAGATAATTTATCAAAATGTTGTCCTTCAACGTTGGTGCTCCACCTATTATAACTTACCTTAATGGCTTAATTTTCGTATGACATCTATTTATATTTTTCCTCTAACGACATAAAATGTACTTATCTGGGACGTGTGAAACCCTTTTATGAATCAACACAATAAAGACATGTCTGCATGAAATCCCTCTAAACTCAAACAAATGACAATTATAATGAATATTACATGAACTTTTTTCAAAGTATACCACAAAGGGTACACGCCGATTACTATCTCCAAACCAAACATCTCCTAAAACTTGATACTTCTCAAACAAATCACACTTTTTCAAAAAAGATAATTCACAATAAATCTTCCCCGCAATCTCTTCTTGAAACTTTTTAAATTTTACAGTTGTGTATGCATTTTGAAATTGTTTCTCAATAGGGTAATTAGTTATGCATGGTATCCAAGATTTGAAAGATCTAAAATCAGCCTCCCTTTCTTTTTCCACTTTATCTTGCAATGCATTATCATATTGTTCCACAAATTGTTTCAGCATTGTTTTGGAATTTACATATATATCCATAAAAAAATGCATGCATACTTTCACTACGTTGAGTAGTTAACATACTTGCCCAGAAAGTATCTTTAACAAATCCAAGTACCCAACGTACTCTTTCTTTGTACAATCCATATAATCATTTATTCTCGTGAAAGTTGTGCACATCAATGAATTTGTTACACCGTTCTTTGAACTCTTCACGTGTAAAAGAATCATACACAATATTTTGTAATTTAAACTTTATAGTTTCATATTCTTTATAACCTTTTAACTTTTCTGGTAGTTTCTTCATTATATACCACAAACACCACTTATGTCTTGTACCAGGGAAAACAATCTCAATTGCATTTTGCATGGCCTTATCTTGATCAGTGATAATAATTCCATTAGGAGAAAAATTCATGCATTCAAGCCAAGAACGAAATAGCTATACAAATGTCTCAGTGTCTTCATGAGAAATTAATCCACAACCTAACAATGTCGATTGTCCATGATGATCAACCCCAAAAGTAGCAAATGGCATATCATACTTTTTTGTCAGATATGTTGTGTCGAAGGTCACAACGTCAGCAAATTCTTTATATGCGACCCTGCATCTATCATCAACCCATAGCATATTCTGTAATCGACTCTGTTCATCTATATCAATCATGTACTAAAATTTTGAATTCTCTTTTTGCATTTTCATAAAATACCTAAGTACTGCCGAAGCATCTCCAACTCCAAGTTTTAGCTTTCTAACTTTTTTAATGTAGTCCCTACAATCTTTTTGTAGAAACGTCAAATTCTCTATACCTCCTGCCTAGGAATGAGAAGTGAGTCAAGCAATTCGCAAGCTACTTGAGCTCGACTCGTGAAAAGCTTGAACTCGATTCGAAGTCAATCAAGTCAAGCTCGAGCTCGAGTGGCTCGTTTAAGGAGTCGAGCCAAGTTCGATCCGGGCGAAGCTCGAGTCGATAGGCTTGCAAGCCTCATCGCGCTTGGAGGGCCAAATTGCAAGTTTTGTAACTTTTTTTTTTATTTTCAAGTTTTTAAAATGACAAATAGCACCCTTTTCACAATAAACTCAAAGCTCGAGCTCAAGCACAAGCTCGAGTACCCACTCATACTCGCGAGCTTGAGCTCGAGCCCAAGTATTCAAGCTTGAACGAGCTCAGCTTGAACTTGAACTCGACACTGTTCATCACGAACCAAGCTCGAGTGTTCAGATACTCTGCTCTACTTGTATACACCCCTACTTTTGCCTCAACTGAACATAATTGAAAATTTTTACATAGTCTAATCCTAGTTAGATCATTAACTTTAAGCCCCATTTTCAGATAAGGTTGTATCGTTCGGTTTACCTTGAAATATCTTTTTTTCGTTGAACTTGTAAGATCATGGTTATGTTCAAGCACAACTTATTTCATTTCCCATTTGCATTCACCATTCAAAGCTGCACTAATCCGACTCTTAAATCTGTTTTAGCAACAAGTTGCTTTTTCAAGGTATTTCTGGATTTACATCCCTCCTTCCTAGAACAAGAACACGCTACTGTCATGTATCTCATCTCCCCATCATCTCCTTTCTTTGACATACATATCATAGCTTCAAAACCCATTTTATTACCATACCTTTTGTAATACTTCACCAGACTATCAACTGAATCAAACACCATTCTAATATGAGGCTCCACTTCTTCTTTGCACATCCCATATCTTCTAATTCATCACATTCATTTTCTTGATTTAATGGTTTTATAATGGAAAAAATTAGAATGTACTAATACAACAGAACATAGGAAACAATACGATACAACAAATTTAAATTCATGTTAACAAAAAAGTTAAAGTTTCGAACACAATTTACCTCAACATCATTGAAATGAGGCAAACTAGACTCTTCCATATTCCATAATTTCATGCAAAACCATAACCAGTTTTTGCGTTCATGAATCTGGTTCACAATAGTCACCAACAAATATTGTCTATCATTTATTTTGTATTGTAACATATATTTAATCCAAAATAGAATATGAAACTAATTAAATGCATAAATTAAGTAAAAAATTCTTAAGTACCTCAAAAAATATTTATAACCCTAAAAAAGTTTGATCTCCCTTTCCACCCTAAATGATTCTCTCTATAAAAAATTGGTGGCTTTCCCGTGAAAATACTATAAACAGTTCTCTCTGTAAAAAATTGGTGGCTTTTTTGTGAAAATATTAGTGACTTTCTTGTCATAGTAGTTAGTTGTTGTGGCTATTGAGGAAGAAACCACCATTGTCGTGTGGAAGACTAACAAGCTCTGGCAAGAACATGCAGAAGAAAAGTTGAGACAATGAAGCTAAAATGTATTAGCTTTAAAATGAAGCTACAAATAAAGTATTATTTTTTTTCATCTAAAAGTTTTGGTTCTTATTTGCATAAGTATAATAGACAAACTATATTTTTTTATTTGCATGATTAAAAAAAAAATTGATTTGCCTCACTGTTCAATGGACGGTCGTCCATCTGATAAGAACAACTGTCCATATAATATGGACGGGCATCCATTCTTATTCTTTTAAAAAATCATTCCTCCTCATTTTAATAATATCGCAAGTCATTATGGATGGACGTTCATTCTAGGTGGACGCCCATTTATAAGAAATTGACTCTCGTCCATATAATATGGACGGGAGTCCATTGTTATTTTTGTTCAAAATTTCGTCCAGATTGGTGGACAACCATCCACTTGTAATGCGCGGCCGCCCATCAAATATGGGACGAGCGTCCATAATTGTTGGACACCTATTCATTTATAGAAGATGTGTTATAGTGTCCAACGTGGTTGCGTCTGACTCGAATGCCATGTAAGTAGGTACAACAATTCGGTGAGATTAATCGGTGTCTGTAGCATTATTGTAAATTAATACTCAATAAATTGATAACCTCGACTAAATAATATTTTTTGGCCAGTCCCGACTTGGGACCAATGAGGTAAATTAATAATTCGCTAAATTTATAAGATAATGCATTAAAAAAAAAAAGCACATAAATACCACTTGATTTATAAATTAATAATCTCTTTATACATCAAAATTATATATATACATGACTCAATTAGCTAGAAAGCCTTTGTAAAATATGACTCCTATAGACTAATGTATTTATATACAAGAAAAAAGCACTCATGTATTTTTATACAACAAGAATAAATATAGTCTGATATTTATAAGAAGAAAACAATTTCCTATTGACTAATTCCTATGCCATATTAACTATGAGTTATTCCCTATACCAGATTAACTCATATAGCTATAACTAGATTGATGATATTATTTCCAACAACTATTCTCTACACCATATTAACCATACATTATATGTACATGTATTAAGTTTAATGTTTTGGAAAAATAAAATAAAGAATGTTTCAATAATTTGATAATTTATTCATTTATACAATTAAATAATACATCAATTAATTAATAATTTTTTATAATTCTAAAGATATTAATTTATCAAGGTTTAACTGTTCTATATTTTATTGGAATATCATAGTGAAGATAAAAGTTTTTATTATTTTAATCACAAACCACATTCACAAAGTGTTTATGAAGTAATATCTTTTAGAAAATAAAGGTGCACAAGGATGGTGTTTTAATTAAAAAATGAATTTTTTATCACTTGACATCTAAGTTTGGCTTTTTGAAAAATAAAAATTTTATAGTTTTAATTAATAAAAGAAGTCATAATTCAAAAAATTAATAAAATATTATTCTAAAATATTATTATACATCTTTTAACATTTCAAAACTTCAAATAAATTAAAACAGGCAATCAACGAGTGATAAAATTAATAAAATTCTAGCTCGTTTTGGTTGTTAGTAATTAATTATTAAATTAACACATAAATTATGTCATTTTTTTTTTTTTTAAATTTTGAGACCAAATTGTTTCTCAAACTTCCAAGTTCCATCTGTCCCTTCAAAGTTCTCCACAGTTCACACTCCCTACATCACGCCACGTGTCACCGCTATTTTCCTCAACTATATAAACCCGAATATCTCACTCTCACCTTTCTCATCGCCAAGTGAAAAAATTCTTCCCTTACCGACGAAGAAGCGTACCGTTTTGCAGATCTAGGTTTTCTCCATGGCTCTCGAATGGGTTGTGCTCGGCTACGCCGCGGCCGCAGAAGCAATCATGGTGCTCCTCCTCACCCTCCCCGGCCTCGATGGCCTACGCAGAGGCCTCGTCGCGGTGACACGTAATCTCCTGAAGCCGTTTCTCTCGGTGGTCCCGTTTTGTCTGTTTCTGCTGATGGATATCTACTGGAAATACGAGACGCGCCCGAAGTGCGAGGGGGATTCGTGTACCCCGACAGAGCACTTGCGCCACCAGAAGTCGATCATGAAGAGTCAGCGCAACGCGCTCTTGATCGCGTCGGCTTTGGTTTTCTATTGGCTGCTCTATTCGGTCACGCATCTCGTGGTGAAGATCGATCAGTTGAACCAGAGGATCGAGAGGCTCAAAAACAAGGATTGATTGAGTCATTGAGGTTGTTTTTGATCTCTGTTTGTTTGAATGTTATTTTGAGGGTTTCAGATATGCTCACTGATTTTATTTTCATTTAATGCATGGTGTTTTATCTCTGTTATTTTTAGTGTTGCAACTTTGTTTCTAGAACTTCTTTCGGAGCTGGTTGCTTTTCAAGTTTGGTAACTGAAGCTTAAGTAAACATTAAATTGGGTTATTCGAGGTGCGATTCTTATAGTTACTTTCAGTAACTAGCAGTTATCATTGAAATGGACATAAAATTGGGTTGTGCTGGTTCTTTATTATTCAGCGAAATGTAGAATTTTTAAATTTTGCAATATCTAGGAAGTATGATTTTGGATTGTTGGCTATGTGTTGCCAAACGAAATTATTATAGTTTAGTGGCTATGTTATTGCTCGGGTCTAGTTTCATCTTGTATGTTTGAGAGTTGATTGATGGTAGCGAGTGCCTGGGTGAAATACAAATATTACAAAAAGCGGTTAGTATTGCTGTTGTGTGCTTAGGATAGAGAGCGGCACAGCTTCGACGATTCGTTAGCACGTTGGTAGATGCATTCAATTGCATGTTTGATGTCCTGTTTAACTGAATCAGGTGCATGAGCATGTTTGCACACTGCTTTATGATCTTAAGCAAGCTTGGTCTTCACTATAGATACATTAAAATAGAATTTCTTATGTGTTCTCTTCGTGCTTCTTATAAACTTCCAAATTAAGCATTAGGTTAGTTCATTGTGGCTTCTCTTTTGATGAAAGTTTTCTCCAACCATACAACCATAGGGATTTCTATAACACTCAAAAGAGTTTCAACGTATGAGCTCCTTTATACTTTCACTTACTGGTTCTTCAATTTGTTCTCCGAACATATACGTGTTAAGTTGTTTAGACACTCATCACAACTTCAACTACAATTTGGGGTCTTTTCAGAAGAATTTCTTATTGTCGATACAAATGCGTCGGATAGAGAAATAGCAATAGGTTTCAGATTATGGGTAATGGTGATTCTTTCATTTTATAGCTTTTTGTGGCAGATACTTTAATGGTATGTTGCATGCTCTTTGAACTTGATTAAGGGTTCATAGGCATTGCCGTCAATCCGCTTGTGATGTTGAGCAAAGTTTGGTCTTGCAGAAAATAAATGCTAAACAGATAACTACTTTTATTCAGCTTCTTAAAGTCTCCGGTCTTTCCATCATTGTCATGTTTATTCTAAACTTGCAGATTAAGTATTGGACTAGGCCATTCTGGCAAACATGGCTCCATATCTTCTATTGCAGTCATTTTCTAGTTGAATCCAGACCTGTATATTTGTTTAATTGTTTACATGAGTCTTGTGTAAATTATAATATGAACCAATGTAAGTTTAACTTATTCATAAGTCAAGGGATTGACTGTTTGTTATTATAGTCAGATCCTATTACTATGTACCTAATTTAATTTTCTGTTTGGTGATTTATAATTTTAATAAAAACCATCCAAATTTAATGAAAAATTAATCAAGTTCGGTAAAAATTTGTTTAAATTGATTTGATTTGATCGTAAGCATAAAAGTTTTTGTTAAATTCTTAATATTCTTTTAACATTATATTATCTACTCTTTTGACATAATTTTTTTTGCAAATTTAACACAAAACAGATCTTCTGTATAGATATAATATTAGCTTCACAAGTCCAGGCAAATTAAATTCAAAAGCTTTGGTCCCTGACTGATCAATTATAAAACTAGAAATCGAATAATCAAGCTCAATTATGAACATAAAATAGTAAAACAATAAAATATTAAAGAAGTAAGAAGGGTTAGGCTTAACATAGAGGCTCATCAAGATTTTAAGTTAAATTAAATTTTGTGTTAAATAACAAGTTTTATTTTGATTATCGTTTAATTGTTTTTATTTAAATTAAAATCAATTCAAGATTTCTTTTATAACTTTCAACTTAATAAAATAAAATAAAAATTTATCTATTGAGTTTGGTAAGGTTTACGAATTGGGATAAATTTTAACAAACCCTTTTCTTCCAATGAAACTTGCTGTTTCCAGAAAGAAAACCTGAGGTGGCATGTTCTAATTGGACTTCTTAAGCAATCCAACACCGCTCAACTTCTGTTTATTCCATATAAGAAACAAAAACCTTTCTTACCACTCCAATTCCATTACAGCCCATTCCAATTCTGTTCTGTCTCTTCTTCTCTCAAATGCTGACACTTTTCTTCTGATTATACGAGGTCAACTCTCCCCCAAACCCCACCGCCCTTCTCTTTTTCTTGAATTTATTTTCATTTTTGTTTCAATTTAAACCTTTTTAATTCAATTCGTTTCTTGATTCTTTAATTCTTTCGAGAAAAAATAATGGATGACATGAAAGATAAGATGAAGGGCTTCATGAAGAAAGTTAACAATCAGTTATCTTCTTCTTCTTCAGGTAAATTCAAGGGCCAAGGTCGAGTTCTGGGTTCCGGTTCTTCTTCTTCTTCGGGAGGACCCGTTTACCCTAATACAGCTCGACCCAATCCACACTACCTCAACACTAATCCCAATCCGAATCCAAACACACAAACAAAACCTAAACCTAAACCAAACCCTTCTCCTTCTCCTTCTGAGAAATCGCTCGTTTCTGAAGAGAGCAATAAGTCCGGTTTTGTGAATAATCCGGACCCGCGTCGGAAACCCTCTGATGGGTTTGACCCGTATGGTTCATTGATCACTTCCGGGAAGAGATCGCAACATGGGTATTCTTTAAATTTGTTTGAATGTCCTATTTGTGGGCAGGCTTTTAGGACTGAAGAAGAGGTTTCTTTACATGTTGAGAGCTGTGTGAATAATAGTAATATTAATAGTAATAATAATAATAATAACAGCAGTTCAACTGATGATAATAATAGTAATAATAATGGTGATGTTGGTGGTGTTTTGAATGAATCTAGGAGTGAATTGGAGACTTGTGTTGGTGTGTTTTTTTCTGGGAGGCCGAAGGAAGGGTCAGTTGAAGTGGTGCGTAAGTTGTTGGGGAATGTGGTGAAGGAGCCCGAGAATGCGAAGTTTAGGAGAATTCGAATGAGTAATCCGAAGATCCGGGAAGCGGTTAGCGAGGTTGTGGGAGCAGTTGAATTATTGGAGTTTGTTGGGTTTGAATTGAAAGAAGAAGGTGGGGAAATGTGGGCAGTAATGGAGGTTCCTGATGAGGAGAGGGTTGGTTTGATTGGTAAGGTAGTGGAACTGTTGTTGGATCTGAAAAAGGTTGAAGTGCCACACAAAGTCGAGAAGTTGAAGGAGGAGGAAGCTAAGGAGGAGGCCAAGGAACACGTTGAGCCGGTCAAGGTTGATAGACAGGTATATTGCTTGTTTTATACTTTTTAGATGATGAATTGATGTTTATTAGCTTCAATATTCAAAGTGAGTCTATGAATTTATGTTATGTTAATAGATAGGAAATTCATTGTGAAATGGTTAGAATAGTTATGTAGCACGTGAGAACACACTTTGGATAGGGCTGAATATGATTTATTGTTGAATTTTATAGCAATGAACATTGCATGTTAAATGATTTAATAAGGATATTAACTTTAGACTTTAGTTTTTGTTGGCTGTTTTGGATATGAGGTTTTAAACACGGTAACACAAAAATCATAAGACAAATTGAAATGATGTTTTATCCCACATTTTTGTCTTTTTCAGCTTGCTAAGTCAAATTTTACCCAAAAAATCGCTAAAAAACTGATAATATCAAACCGACTGAACCAATGTTTTACGTTTTGCTTTGGTTCGGTTGTTAATTTAAGATGATACGGTAAGGTTCGGTTTTTTTTTTTTTTCACTTGTTCGATTCGGTTCAGGTGAAAAACAAAACCAGACCACATTTTTCCACCTCTAACACATATCAATTATAATCAATTAATTTTCAGAATCATGGTTTTTGAACCCATGAACTCTTAGAAGGGAAAGTCTTAGGGTAAGACCCAAAAGTTATAAAAACATACAAACATGTTATAAAAACATGTGTTTTTAACCATTTAAGGAGAGCCATACATGGTGTGATGACTGGCAGGCTAACATGTTATAAAACATGAGTTTGTTCTGCCATTTAAGGGAAGCGCTGCAGTGTGATGAGTGGCAGAGTAACATGTTAGGAAATAAATGGTTTTTCTACCATTTAAGAGAAGCCACACATAGTATGATGATTGGCACACTAACATGTTGTAAAATATTGGGTAAACCACCATTTAAGGGAAGCCACACATAGTGAATTTTCCGTAAAAACTGTGTTCTTCACTTGAACTTTTAAATTTTCAAAGAATGGGTTGGTGCGGAAGCATTTGAGATAGTTCTTTAAATATTTGGAAGTAGATTAACACCAATTTAATTTGTGTCTAATTTGGCTCTTTCTTTTTCTATTTGAATTAGAAATCCTCCTTTATTTTGCGGTCAAATCCAGTCAAAGTTTGACTATTCAAGTGAATGTCTAACCATTTCCCTCTTACATCATCTTTGACTTTAAAACTAAGCTTTTGTGCACTTGTCTAAGAATGATGTAAGAGGCCAGTGGTCAAACATTTACTTGACAACAGTCGCACTTTGATTAAAGAGCAATGCTATGCTTACAACTGAGTCATATAAACAGACAAAAAATAAAGGACAAAGTAGTCATTTTACATAAATTTTGTAAAATTTTTGTCTATCTGTATGACTCAGTTGTAAGCAAAATATTATTGTTGACTAAATCTGACCCACAAGATAAAAAGATGATTACTATTTTGAGTAAAAAGAGAAGAAACCGAATTAGGCATAAATTTAATTGGTTTAAAAATTCGAAAGTTTGTCCACTTGCCTTGTCTAAGAGATACTTGAATACAGTGAAGTATATTGATCTTGTTTCTTCCAAACTTCTATCCCCTTCAGTTATGATTGAGATCACATCAATTTGGGCAAAGAAGCTTGCACAAGGAGACACCATAATTTACTCCATCGACATTTATAACCCAAAGAACTCATATTTTATGGTGTAGCCATGCCTGGAAATTGAAGACAATTTCTGATAATTTTCAGAAAAACTAAATAAGAAAATACAACTTGCAATTATTGGAATATCTTCATGTTGCATTTGGTTGAAATTTATCTTGTACATGAGGAAATCAAAGGCTTATGCTTGGAACTTAATACAACTAGGAGGACCAAAGGCCTTTTTCTATCTATACACTCTTTCAAAAATGCATTGAAGAGATCATTTTGGAAGATTTTCCATGGATATGGGCTTGAGGGATTATGATGCCTAGAATCTGAACAGAACTTGCTAGATAAGGGACCTCTATGGACATATTTAATAACAAGCTTCGATGGATAAAGCTTAATTCCCTTCTAACTCTTAAATAGTTGGCTTTATTTCATTAACTTTGGTCTGTTCCACAGAAGGCCCCAAGCCAACTGCCTATAGTGTGGTGGTTAGGAAGTAATGTCTTTTGTCTATCAATAGTATTTCCAAGGCCAAAAACTGAACTCTGCCTATAATCTGTCTTGCTTCAGTTTGTCCACTTGCCTTGTCTAAGACATACTTGAATTCGGTGAAGTAAATATCGATCTTGTTTCTTACAAAGCCCCCTCCTCTTCAATTTATTATTGAACTGCATCAATTTGTGAAAAGAAGTTTGGACAAGGAGACACCATTAATTTACTCCATTGACATATTTTAACCCGAAGAACTCATTTTTTATGGTGTACCCATGCCAGGAAATTGAAGACGATTTCGGATAAGTTTCAGGAAAAATAAATGAGAAACTACACTTATGATTATTGGAATATCTTCTTCTTGCATTTGGTTGGAAGTTATCTTGTATATGAGCATGTCAAAGGCTTGTACTAGGACCTGAATACAAGAGTACCAAAGACCTTTATCTAACTATATACTCTTTCAAAGTTGTATTGAAGAGATTATTTTGGAAGCCATGGATATTGGCTTGAGGGATTATGATGCCTAGAATCAGAACAGAACTTGCTGTATCATTGCCCTTTAAATATCTTTATACGTTTCCGATCAAATGAATGTATCAGTTTTAAGGATTTTCCACCACTATTGACCTTAAACGTCTGCATATTCTCTTGCTATAACAAAGAGATGACCTTCGCGTCTTCCTGATACTGAAGTTTAAAGCTAATATCTTAACAGAAGTCGGCTGAATAGAACCTGCCCAGAAAATCAGACAATACAACCCTATGTAAATAGCTAATAGTCACTCCTAGCAATATCAATACAAACAGTAAACAACTTAGCAAAATAGTGTAAGTACACCAGAAAAGGATAAGCATCAGACTGACTTCGAGGGGGCCACCATCCCCACAATACTGAATTCGAGGGTTAGTAACCTCCCTTCCAATTTACTTCCTATTTTTTCTACCTCCATTTTCTTATTCCTCTTTTTATTCTGTTCTGTCACCTGTCTGTTCCAACCGAATTCCACCCCATCCCCTCGTATCATGCCACCTGTTCCACAAATATTCCCTCTTAACAAATCCCAACTTCCTAATATTCCCATACTTCCTACCACAACCCTTCCTGTGGTACACCAGCCTTGTTGGGTGCTCATCATTACCCTCCCCAAGGACAACCACCTTGTCCTCAAGGTGAAAGGCAGGAAATTGGTGGTCGATAGTGTCAAAATCTTCCCATGTGTTTTCATAGGAAGGTAACCCCTTCCATTGAATCAGCACTTCCCACTGGCCATTCAGAAGTTTCCTTTTCTTGATAACTGCTTCAGGTTCGAGTTGTAACGTTAAATCCTCGTTAAGAGCTGCTGGAAGAGGCTGGCTGTTGGCAATTGGAAACATGGCTTTCTTCAGCTGTGAAACATGGAAGACATTATGAATGCGGGCTGAAGGAGGCAGTGCCAACCTGTATGCCACCGCTCCAATCCTGTCCGTGATGATAAAAGGACCATAAAACCGCGGGCTCAGTTTCTCATTATAGCGACGGGCTAAGGATCGTAATCGATACGGTTGTAACTTCAAGTATACCGAATCTCCTATCTCAAATGTCACCTCTCGACGATGGCAATCAGTAGCTAGCTTCATGCGGTTTCGAGCCTTAAGAAGATTTGTCTTTAACTCCTCAATGATATGGTTTCGGTGCTGAAGTTGTTGGTCAACATCGGCAATTGGAGAAGTATGATCTGCATACCGTAATATTGTTGGAGGTTCACGGCCATAGAAAGCCTTAAAGGGGCACATTCCCGCAGAGCTATGATAGGTGGTATTGGACCAAAATTCTGCCCATGGCACCCATTTGGGCCACTGCTGTGGGTGGCTATTGACGAAGCATCGGAGGTAAGTCTCTAAGCAACGGTTGACCACTTCGGTTTGACCATCCGTTTGCGGATGGTAGGCTGAACTCATGTGCAACTGTGTGCTAGACTGCTTAAGTAATTCGGCCCAAAAATTACTCATGAAAATCCTATCTCGATCGGATACAATAGTTCTCGAAAATCCGTGCAACCTGACCACCTCTCGGATAAACAGGTCCGCTACCGTCTGGGCTGTATATGGGTGTTTAAGAGTGACAAAATGGCTATACTTGGTGAACCGGTCGACTACGACCAGAACAGTGTCGACCCCTTGCGCTTTGGGTAGCCCCATAATAAAATCCATTGAAACATCATCCTATACTTGGTGAGGAATAGGTAAAGGTTGGAGCAAACCTACTAGACTTAAAGCATCGTATTTATTCTGTTGACAGATGCTGCAAGCAGCTACAAATGCCTTGATGTCTTTCTTCATTCCTTCCCAAAACACCACATTCGATATTCGTTTGTTTGTCCGAAAAAATCCAGAATGGTCTCCAATCGGTGAAGTATGAAATTCCTGTAATAGCTGATGAATGTGAGGCCCCGATTTCGGTAAAACCATTCGGTTATGGTACATCAAATGGCATCCTACCAATCTGAAACGGGGGTGACTGTTTGGGTCAATCAAGAGCTGTTGGATAATCTGTCGTAACTTGGCATCTTGCTGTATAGCATCCTCAAGGCTATCAAGTCCCGAAAAACACCCCATCAAAATAGCATGATACTCAGTTGGCTCGGACATCCTAGAAAGGGCGTCTGCTGCTTTATTTTGTGGTCCTGGTTTATATTGGATGATGAAATTTAGTCCTAATAGTTTGATAACCCACTTTTGCTGACTTTCACTTAGTAATTTTTGGTCGGTTAGGAAATGTAGACTCCGCTGATCTGTCCTGATAACAAAACGTCGACCTAGGAGATAATGCCGCCATTTTTGCACAGCCATTACCGCAGCCATTAATTCCCTCTCATAGACTGACTTTAGTTTTGAATTGATAGACAAACCTTTACTGAGAAATGCAATCGGCCGCCCTTCTTGCATCAGTACTGCCCCTAAGCCACTTCCCGAGGCATCTGTCTCAATAACAAACTCTTGAGTGAAATTGGGCATCCTTAGGACAGGGACGCTGGTCATGATGCTTTTTAATTTCTCGAAGGCCTGTTGAGCTGCTGGATTCCAGGCAAAAGAGTCCTTTTTTAAAAGTGCAGTGAGTGGAAGAGCTATCTTATCGTAATCGCGAACAAAACGGCGGTAGTAGCCCGTCAGCCCCAGAAATCCTCTAAGTGCCCTGATGTCCTTTGGTTCTGGCCATTTAGTGATGCTTTCTATGTTGGTGGGATCAACTGCTACACCCTTGGCAGACATGACATGGCCTAGATATTCCAGCTGAAGTTGCTCGAATTGACACTTCTTTTGATTTACCACCAGTTGATTCTCCAATAACACCTGCAAAATAATACTTAAGTGCTCTGCGTGTTCATCCATCTCCCTACTGTAAATCAATATATCGTCAAAGAACACCAACAAAAATTTTCTCAAATACGGCCTGAAGACATCATTCATGACTGCCTGAAACGTTGCGGGTGCATTGGTAAGGCCGAAAGGCATTACGAGAAACTCATAGTGCCCCTCGTGTGTCCAAAAAGCAGTCTTTGGTGTGTCTTCGGGTTTCACTCTAATTTGGTGATATCCAGATTTCAAATCGAGTTTTGAAAATACAGTTGCCCCATCTAACTCATCAAACAGTTCGTCGATAGCGGGGATTGGAAACTTATCCGGAACGGTCACCTTGTTAACGGCCCGATAGTCTACACAGAAGTGCCACCCTCCGTCTTTCTTTTTCACTAATAAAACAGGGCTGGAAAACGGGCTGATGCTTGGTTTTATAATTCCTGAGGCCAGCATCTCTTTGACAATACGCTCGATCTCATTTTTCTGATAATAAGGGTATCTGTAGGGTCTGAGGTTTGGTGGCTGTGTTCCCAGAACTAGCTGAATAGCATGGTCCTTTGACCTGGTTGGAGGTAACCCAGAGAGTGGCTCGAAGACTTGACTATAGTGTCCCAATACCTTCAACAGTCTGTCATCAATAGCCCCCATATTTTCACACTGAGTCTGCAGCTGCCCAAACTCGATCAAACAGCCTTGTCTTGCGCTCTGTAATGCCTTAATCATCGCCTTGAGCGATACCATAGTCTTGCTAAGTGATGGACCCCCATACAGACAGACTACCCGTGGTCCCATTGTGAACTTCATCGTTTGTTTTCTCCAATCTATAACAGTCTCACCTAGAGTCTTAAGCCATGCAATACCCAGGACTACATCCGCGCTACTCATCTCAAATGGAAAAAAATTTTGCACGATTGTCACACTCGGTAGCTCCAAACACACGTCCTTACATTCCCTTTCACATCTAATGCTATATCCATCACCCACCCTGACACCGAAGGATTGAGTTCTGGCCATTGGTATCCCCAAGTGTTCAACCACTTTTGAGCTAATAAAATTATGGGAAGCCCCACTATCAATCAACACAATCCACTCTTTACCTTAGATTCTTCCTTTGAGTTTCATTGTCTTCGGTCCCTGAATCCCAACCATTGAACTAGGGGAGAGCTCCACGTTGTCCTGTGGGTGCTCTATTTCAGCTTCGATACTTTCTCCACCCCCACTTGGATCTGGGTCATCTTCTTCATTGTCAATCAGGAGGATTTGAAACTGTTTTTCGCCACATTTATGCCCTAGAGAGTATTTTCCATCGCATCGAAAGCAGAGCCCCTTCTCTCGTTTCTTCTGAATCTCGGCGTCTGTCATCCGACGAAAAGGGAACTCACGTCGTTGGAAGCCTGATCGTTCGAAAGGTCGTGAGTTCGTCATGGATGATTCACGCGTGGAGGAATTCGTCGATGAACCCTGCAGGGAGGATTCTGGTGTTCGTCGACTGAAAGGGGAAAAAGAGTTTGAATTAGTTTTTAGGGATTCTATCGCGTTGGGAAATTTGGGATTATTTTCAGTTCGGGTCGGGTTGAAAAATCTGGGTACACTTCTGGATCCAAAGGTAAACCCAGGCCCAAATGTGCGTGAGCCCCTGTTTACTCCCACTTGGGCTTCTTCTAAGGCTTGGTTCTTTTCTTCAACCCTTTGGGCCAGCTCAATAACTTGCATCAATGAATTTGGTTGGGCCAACCTCACCTTAGCCCTAATCTCTGTTTTTAACCCATTTACGAATGCAGCTTGTAGGATCTCTTCTTTCTCCCCTACCAATAGAGCTGCCACTGCCTCAAACTGACGACGGAACTCCACCACTGAGCTTGTCTGTTTCATCGCCATTAGGGACTCGTATGGGTTGAGTTCTTGGGATCCACTAAATCTCTGAAGGAGTACTAATTTAAACATAGCCCAGGAGCTTGTCGGAGTCCTGGATTCTGTCCACTGGAACCAATTGATGGCTTCTCCTTCCATGCAGACAGTTGCTGCAACTAACCTTTCTTCTTCCGATATTCCATTGATGTTGAAGTATCTCTCAACTCTGAAGATCCATCCGGGATCTTCACCTGAAAAGATGGGCATTTCCAATTTTCGCCCCCCTATTTCATTATGGTTTTGGTTATTGCTCCCAGATCCACTGGCTCCATTTCCATTTTCTTCGTGGTGAGACTGATTATTTTTGCCTGACTGTCCCTCTGCTCTATCAACCTCTTCTTCATTCTTTCGCCTTACCCATGACTGTATCTCCACCAAACACTCCCTGATGGTACCCATTTCTACTCCCAGCTTTGTAACCTCTTTCTCCACATTATCGAGTCTAGAATCCATCCTCGTCACGACCATTACCCAGACCACACTGCTCTGATACCACTTGATAGAACCTGCCCAGAAAATCAGACAATACTACCAACCAACAATCCACACACGCGCACAATCATAGTTTAATGAGAGGACCCTGTTATATTAATCATCAATAGAACAATACAACCCTATGTAAATACCTAATAGTCACTCCCTAGCAATATTCAATGCAAACAGCAAACAACTTAGCAAAAATAGTGTAAGTACACCAGAAAAGGATAAGCATCAGACTGACTTCGAGGGTCAGCCACCTCCCCACAATACTGACTTCGAGGGTCAGTAACCTCCCTTCCAATTTACTTCCTAATTTTTTCCTACCTCCATTTTTTCTCTTCCTCTTTTTATTCTGTTCTGTCACCTGTCTGTTCCAACCGAATTCCACCCCATCCCCTCATATCATGCCACCACGTTCCACAAATATTCCCTCATAACAAATCCCAACTTCCTAATATTCCCATACTTCCTACCACAACCCTTCCTGTGGTACACCAGCCCTGTTGGGTGCTCATCATAAGCATACCGTTTTTCTTATTATTTAGGAAGCCATGGATATTGGCTTGAGGGATTATGATGCCTAGAATCAGAACAGAACTTGCTGTATCATTGCCCTTTAAATATCTTTATACGTTTCCGATCAAATGAATGTATCAGTTTTGAGGATTTTCCACCACTATTGACCTTAAACGTCTGCATATTCTCTTGTTATGACAAAGAGATGCCCTTTACTTCTTCCTGAAACTGAAGTTTAAAGCTAATATCTTAACGGAAGTAGGCATACCCTTTTTCCTATAGCCAGTAGATTCTTCAATTAAATGAAATTTCAATTTAGAGAATTTTCTGGAGTATTCATGCTTGAGGTGTATGTAATGCCTGAAATCTTGTCTTGTATAATAATCCATAAAACATGTCTAGAGGATTTGCTAGAAATGTAAGTACTTATCTGATTTTGTAGTTGGTGTGAATTGCTCAGTCTCTAACATCAAAGTCAATTATTTAATTTTTGTTTGAATTTATCTAATTGCTTCCCGTGTACATTTTTGGATTATCATTTTCTTGGAAATTGGCTATACATTTCATTGGCTCAAGCAGTGTCTAGAAGATTTTTCAAAATTTTATAAGACTATTTTACAATGCTATCTTATTTTTCAGCACTCTTTAAACTGTTCATTGCCTTATTTTTCATCTCCGAAATTAGTTTTGAATATAATGTGCTTGGCTGTGGTATCCTCTGTGATATTTGCTTTGTGATACACAAGTAATCTAACATTGTTTCTTATATTATTACTCTTGAGTGTAGAATTTTTATTTTGATATGTAATAAAACCCCCCTTGGATTGCTCTGTCAACATGCCCTGTATTAGTGTGTTGATATGACGTTGTCATTTATATGGTTACTTTAGATCCGGGTCTTCTTTTCCGTACCTGAAAGCATAGCAGCAAGAATCGAGTTGCCAGATTCCTTCTACAACCTATCAGTTTCAGAGCTGAAGAGAGAAGCTAATACAAGGAAGAAAAAGATTGAAGAATCGCAGCTATTGATTCCCAGGTCTTACAGGGAAAAGCAGGCAAAAGCTGCCAAGAAGAAATACCGCAGAGCTATTATCCGCATCCAGTTTCCTGATGGAGTGGTGCTCCAAGGTGTTTTTGGTCCATGGGAGCAAACAACTGCTCTCTATGAGGTTAGTATTTACAGTTATTAGTATTGTGTTTTGGTTGTTTATGAGTGCGCACACTTATTTATCCGAGTCTCATGTAATGAAATGGTACTTGGATAAAATTTTCAGACTCGGGATTGTTCAGTAATCGAAAGTTGTTTTCTGCTCTACTAGATTCAAGGATAGTCAAAAAGATGTGTTTGCTTTGTAATTAGAAGATGATATTTGAAAAACACGAAACTCATTTTTGATCATTTATCATATCAAAACCTTCCTGCGGATAGCTTTATTTACTTCAGTTTTTCACAATTTCTTTTACCTCACAAAGCACCATCTGAATTTTGTGCATTTTTTATCTCTAAACAATACAATTCTACACATTTAACGCTAGAGATGTATATCAACTTTGTGTTATTCTGGAAATTACTAAGAAAGTTTGTGCTTTTATCCTCTCTAATAGTATATCTTAGCTATAACTTAAATTTTATAAACACAGATTACGAACTTATGCGCATGTGTATGACTTCAAAGTGATAATCATTCTCTTTGGTTTTCAGTTTGTGAGCTCGGCACTGAAAGAACCCAGTTTAGAGTTTGAGCTGTTACATCCTGTATTAATCAAACGCCGAGTGATTCCAGCAGCAGGACAGAAACCTACCACATTAGAAGAAGAGGATTTGGTCCCGTCGGCGCTTGTCAAATTCAAACCTATCGAGACAGATTCTGTTGTCTTCACAGGGCTCTGTAATGAACTCCTGGAAATTATTGAACCCCTTGAATGATGCAGAAATTGCTCCAGTATTGTTCTTCACTGTTCCTGTACCGGGGCATATCGCATTATGATGGTCTCCTCGCATTGATCTCACAAATCTTCAGCTGGTTTTGCTTATGTCTGATCTTTTTTTGGACCCTATAGATATAGAAAGTAGACTGTAAATGTCAATTTGTGCATTTGTGTTATTTATGTTCTTCACCAGTACCAAAAATTGATTCTTTTCTTTTGTCAGATTTGGAATAATTGTAATTGTGCAATTAAATCAATTTGATATTTGCTTTGTGAAAGAATATAAAGCTTTATTTTCAGATATATCATATATCCAAAGAGTATATCAATTCGTCCAGAATTCTGGTTTCAAAATCAAGTTAATTAGAGGGTCTTCATTCAACACAGAATTACTTAATAATACAAATAAAAAATGTTAAAATTTGATTAAAAAAAACAATTATTTCTGAAATTTAATATTATATGTAGTGTAAAGAGTTATGTAATTAAAATAATAATAATAAAAAATTAGATTACTAATCATAACAAATATGATACAACAACTAATCCAACCAAATTAATATTTTAATATTGTTTTATTTTTTTAAAATATGAAGAACACAATCCAAATTATAATATTTAACAGAAATGATAGACCCACAAGGCACAAGCATAAAACTAGAAATGACGAGTCATTGAGCTTATTGACTTTATTGTATGATAAAATTGGATCATCAATGATCAAATCACATGGCAAATCTTCTTGAATTTGATATCTCCAAGATCCAAAAACACATCCAAAATGAGGCAATCTCCCCATGTGATGCCAAAAATAATTGGAAATTTACACTCCATGTGAGGGGTTCAATGAGATTGTCTTTACTTGTATGATAATTTTTTCTTCCAATTGTTGCCAAAAAGGAGCTCAATTTGCTTGTGAATTATTGTGCTTGTTTGCCCTTTACAAGCCCAAAGTCTTTGTCTTGTGAAAGGAATTGAAGAAAGGTTAAGGGAATGGTTCATCAAAAACTAGCTAGCTTAGCTAGGACAATGCACACTGAAAAAGATGTTTGCTTCCCAAGAAAGTTTTAATATAAATACTATAATTTTAATTCGGAAAATGGAATTAATGTAGTACAATAACAAAAGAGAATACCCGATTCAATATTCTTCAAATATAATAGTAGAGTGACTAAGAACAATGAAATGAGAGATACGATAAAATCTTAACTAATTGAACTATATTATGGTATAAATATAAAGTTGAGATTCCAATATATAGATGTTAATTTATAAATATTTTATTATACATTAATCCAAAATTATTATGGTATTAAAGAAAAAGTCATTTTGATTGGTCGGAGCTTTTTGAATCATTTCAAAAGCAAAATCATATGAGTTTTGTACTAACGCGTGAAAATAGATTATCTCATTTCATTAAATTTATTTATTTATTATTTATTTTTTTTTTTGTCATAGAAATAATTAAAGACAAGATCACTTAAAGAAGATAAATGTTTTCAAAATACTTTAGTGTACCATTATCCAATACTAAATTAGCAATTCCCATGGATTGTATATAAAAAAATAAAAAAATCTCAGCAAGCATTCTATTTTTAGATTATTTATAGCCCTTTCTTGCTATTTTAATCTTGCTGTCACCCGCCTTATATTTGACTTGAAATATTATTAGCAAGCTTCTTTTATTTCACATTTTCATTATTTATTTAATTTATCTTCTACATTAGAATTAGCGAGAAGCAACATTATTCTTCTTCTCGAATCTTAAATTATAATTCAACGACAAAAATTTAAACTAATAATCAATTTGAAAAAGAGTTTATTACATGTCATCTGGAAGGTTTGACACAAAAGCATTTTATAAAATTTGAAACGTTATAACTCAGTTTCGAATGACTTTTTTGTGAATTAAATATAACAATTCAAAAGATATATTATATATTTTAAATAATCTATTTGACATTTTTTTATCAGTAAACAATTGGCAATTTTACATAAACAATTGAAAGTTTGATGAGAAGATCGACCATTTTGGTATTGTTACAAATTTTTAATGTAAAAAATAATTAATTATTTGATTAAAATTGTCAATCGATCATTCAAAATGTCTTCCATCCCTGTTATATTTGATTGTTAGAATCATTATTTTAGGGTATTAGCCTTGGTTTCTCAAAGCTAGAAGAAGAAAAGTTTGTGCCTCAAACCTTAGGAGTGACGATGTAATGAACCCGTTTAAAAATTAAAGAAAAGAATACACGTCTTGACTAAAAACCAATACAAACATTGAAAGTGAACCACCCACTTATGACGGGATGGATAAAGGGACGTATGGTTGAAAGCACCCCCATTTTTTAATTCAAGTTGTACCAAGAGGTGCTCAATTACCTTACCTAAAAAAAAGATTGAAAGTGAGATAAATTACTTATAATATATTTCCCTTATTTTTTTCCATCTCTCAAATATAATAAAATACATAACTAAAGATAATAAAAAATTAAAATTAAAACCCCTCTTTCAACAATCTTTATATTAAAACTCTTCAATATATATTTTTAATTAGAGTGCTTACTTGCCCTTATTTTTTTTAAATGAACTATAATATTAAAATTGTCTAGGATGAATCATCCTTCTGAATTGGCTCAATTTGACATTGGAATATTTGGTTATCTAAACTTTAAAAAATGTCACCTTCCACCCGGATTAAATTAAAGAATTTGCAAATTACATAATAAAATAAATTAATGCAACTTAAAATTTTATAATCACCTCGTTAATATAAAACAAACGAGATTGAATTCCCCACTTGCCTTAGTTGCCTAGAAGAATCGAGTGCCTGGTCAACTCAACGTGGACCACAACAGATTAATTAATTATTTTAATTAGTTAAATAAAGTAACAATTAGTGCAATTAAAATAATATTGTTTTGGTTTGCACTACAATATGAAGTTCTCCATGTGAAGGTTTTCACTATAAAATAATATTGTTTTGGGCAAATAATTAAACAAACATAAATTAAGACAAGAAGAAATGTTAATTTTTTCTTTCTTTCTCCTTTTGTTTATTTATGGTGTTTAGGTGTGGAATTAATTAACCAATTTAATTTTATATTTAGATGGCTAAATGACAATGGAAAGGAAAGAGCCTTTTGCCTTGCTGAAATCTAAAATTTATGTTCCAACTATCGTATTTTTGTACGTACATGTAGCAATTTGATCCTAATTGATTAATATTGTTTGTTTTGGACTTTATTTAGAAGAATTAACTTTTGAGCTTCACAGCTCAAATGAGTTTTATCTAGAACGCGTCCACTAAATTGAGAGAGTTCTTATAGTAAAACCTTGTATATTTGGCCTGTTTGTAGTGAGCAATCACTGATTTGAGAAATGTCATCAATTCAACCATCAAATTTATCAACAATTTCATCAATTTAATATCTACAGAATATATTAACCTCTCAATATTATTGACATATTTTGAATATTAGATTGATTGAATTTCCTTGAATAGTAAAAACATTATTTTCTTACAAACTTCAACAGAATAACCTAACAATCCATAAAAAAATGGGGATAGGGTCGTATTTCCGAAACTAGTGGGTGCTCATTACAAAAAATGGCCAAACACAGAAGGGTTAGGATTATTTTTCTGAAACCAGCTGGTGTTCACTAACGAAAGGCCAAACACAAGGGACTTTAATAAATGAACCCAAATTGAGAGCACTAAAGCTTTAATCACTGACGATGTGAAATGTGACAGAAACTGTTATGTGAAATCATAAGCGGATTTGGAAAGTCCTATATGATGACACATTATTTAAGACGTAAATTTTATGATATTAAGATATTTAGTATTAATCTTTATTTTTTTATGGGTAAATATTTGACATTTATGGTTGGCTTTTTTTGTATATACATGTTTATTTAAAATGCTTATATCAATGGAATAAAATATAAAAATTTTATTTTTGTGGAACCCTGGTGAGATTTATGCATTAGCATCTACTATCCGTTGTGGCCGCGAATCATGATGTTGTAGATTTCCTAGCTAGCTTTGTTGATTTTTTGGGTTTCTTATTAATTAATGTTGCAAAATTTACATTTACATTTTTTTTTTATTTTTTTTTATTTTTTTATAATTTGGGTTTGTATGTAATAGAGAAGTAGTCAATAACCTCTCATATGTTTTCTTTATTTAAGTTTAAATTTGTATTTTGAATTTGTGGTTGAACAGTATCTGTTATCTGGTATTATACTCTTATATATATACCTTTGATGATTGAATGAAAAAGTACACAACCAAATTCTTTCTCCTTTGTTCATCCTTGCTTCTGTTTTATGGTATCACTCGTATAAGAGCAATTTTAATTGGTGTCGCCATCGTCCTCTCACAATCATCCGCGTCACTGTCCTCTACATTCCCAATCAATAAAGCCACCATCATATTCCTTAGAAGCCAAAGACGCTAAAAACCACTCCATTCAACGTGAGCTATGTTGTCACCCTCACTCAAAACAAGCAATGTCAAAATCCACTCCCTTTATTGTGAGTGACGCTGACATCCTTGGCCCTAACAATGAGTGACACAGACATCCTCTACCCTAACAGCTAAATTTTAATTGTTGTTGACGTCACCACCAACCAATACCAAAATGGCCACAAACACAAACGTCAGTTTTGCAACCTCCGATCTTGTGATTCAAAACACCAATGAACGAAACAACATGTTAATCACCACCAATATCTCTACCCAAGTCCTACTCAAACTCAACAGCAACAACTATGTTTCATAGACACTCCAGTTTCACACCCTTTCCATAGAATATGATCTCCGTGGTTATATCAACAGATCGAAACCATGTCCAACCCCTCTTACTATCACTACAAACAACACTACTATACCAAACCTACTATACCAAACCCAACTCATACAATATGGATTCGACAAGACCAATTAATTCTCAATGCTCTTGTTGGATCTCTTTCTCCTACTATTACCCATTCATTGCTTAAGCCAAAACCTCCAAAAAAAGTTTGGATAATCCTCTCTAACATCTATGCAAAGCCATCGTGAGGACGCATCAAGCAGGTAAAGAGCATCTTAAGAATCTCTCTAAAGGTTCACAAAGTATTACTAGCTTTCTTCAAACTATGAAATCATGGGCTGATGAGCTTGCAATTCTTGAGCACCAATTGATGAGGATGATCTCACAGAGAAAATCCTTGATAACCTTGGTGATGATTAGAAAGAACTTGTGCGTGTTGTTTAAGCTCGAGACAACTCAACCGCCTTCGATGAACTACAT